ATAATCACAATAGATCTTTGAGTTTCATTTCCATCCCTGAAATTACAAAATATTTCCACTGGGTGGTAGGACTAAAGACAAGTTTTGTGTTAATGAATTGGATTTAACAAATACTGAGCTAAAGTTTTGGCTCAGTTGGTAGAGTGCTTGCCAACACGTGTGAGGCCCCAGGTTCGATTCTCAGCACCACTATAAGTAAATAAATAAAGGTCAATCAACAACTAAAACAATTTTTTAAAAATACTTATGGGTCTTGAATTTTTTATTAATTTGTAATGTTTGTATAAACCCAATTCTGAATATAGGCAAAAGTATATGAATTAAGATAAAAGGCTAAGTTACAATCACACAAGATCCAACAACTCAGTGGCTTAAAGAATGAAAATAAGTCTCTCTCTTCCACATTCTGAGGTGAAAGTTCTCAGTTATTAGTGTAGCTATTTCATGAAATAGAGGCCTGAGTCCTTCTGAAGCCAGAATTAAAAGAGGCAGTCAAGTATAGATACGTAAATCAGGTCAGATCAGATCAAGGAGTCCAATTTGATGAGTCCAGGAAGTTGGAAACCTCCCCCTGAAGGACTAAAATGCCTTCAGAGCCATTCCTCCACCCTTATAAAGATAACCTGCCCCTTCTCCAACCTGTTGCTAAGGTAACCTGTCCCAGGAATTGTCCCTCCCTATAGAGAGTTATAAAAGTTGTTAATTAATGTGTCCTGGGCTGCTCCATCTGGACTCCCCCCACCCAACACCATCCCCCATCTGCTTCTCACCTTTTGGCCATCCTTCTGAGCATTTCCAGGCCTAGTAGGCAGGAAAGAGAGAAATAAGGGGAAGAGAACAGGAGAACAAAGGAAGCCTAAGACATATAAAAGAAGGCAGAACACTCTCACTTCTTGGGATACCAGGATACCAGCTATGGCCCCCTTCTCCCTCATGGGAGAAGTCTATTTACCCCTTTTTAAATAAACCCTGCTTGGGGCTGGGGTTGTGGCTCAGTTGTAGAGCACTTGCCTAGCATGCGTGAGGCGGAGTTTGATCACTGGCACCACATAAAAAATAAATAAACAAATAAAATAAAGGTATCGTGTCCATGTACAACTAAAAATATATATATTAAATAAACCCTGCTTTATATGCTTGCCTTGGCATCCTTCTCTAATGTTATCTTCACCGTGTGAGGAGCAGAATGTGTCACCAATAAGTGGGGGTATCACTACCAGCATAATTCCATAATTCTCTAGGACTGTATTATCTTTAGGTCAATCCTGGAAGTGGCACACACTACTTGAGCTCCCACTCTCATACCCTGCTGCCAAGCCCCTAGTCACTTCGTTACACTTAGCAGCAATCAGAATGCTATGGAGGGGCAGCTGTGTGCCTCAGAAAGGAAGAACAGAATTCCAATGCAGAGGACAAGTAATCTCTACCAAAATGATCTTTGGAACAATATAAAATGCCCGAGATTAGGAAGTGGTTGCCATAAAAGTCAGGATAATGATTACCTTTTAGCAAGAATAGGGTTTTAATAGATTCTGAGGTTTTGGCAATATAAGTAGTAGTTACGCGGATGTTCTTATTAATTCATTATGCTGTACTTTAAGTTTCTGCGTGTCTAATATTTTTCATGGTGAAAATCTTAAACAATCTATGCTTGTTTCAAGACGATATAATAGTCCAATGTGGGTCTTGAGACACCTCAGTCAGTCAAACAGATTAGAAAATTAGACTTCAAAGTGACATGTACCTCAGGCTTAATGCTGTTTGGTTTTATTTAAAAAGTATTTATAATAGTAAAATTTGTAGTTTACTTTCATCAATTTCTGAGTTCAATTTTGATATTTATGTGGTATGAAATGGATTCGTGGAAATAAAATATTGATTTATAATATTTTTCTTATAAGAAATAGAATATAACAGCTCAACATGTGACAGGAATCCAGAAATCAATGAAATCTAGGTCCAGCATCACTCACCAATAATCCACCAGCAATCCAACTTTAATTCAGTTTCTTCTAAGAAGAAAACAGGTGGGGATGTGAGGTAGAAAGACCTAAGGTGGCTTCACAACCCCTGCCTCTTAGTGTTCTTGCCCCTGTGTAAGTCCCAGCCCTTATGAATGGGACTTATTAACTAGTTTTTAACCAAGGACACAGCAAGGTGACATGATGTGTATGGTCATGTTACAGAAAACTGTAATGTCAGTCTTGCTAGAGAGACTTTCCTGCTGGTTCTGAAAACAGCAAGCCGCCTATTGTATGCTGCCTGTGGAGAAGACCACATGAAAAGGACCTGAGGGCAGCTTCCAGCCAAGAACCTGGGAGAAACCCCAATCTTCGAACTTGAAAGCCTACAAGGAAATTAATTCTGCCAATAATCATGTGGCTTAGGAGAGAATGTTTTCTCACCCAAGTCTCAGATGAGACCCCCATCCCTGGCTGATACCTACAATGCARCCCTGCAGTAGACCCAGCTAAGCTATGCCTGGGCTCCTGAACCACAGAAACTGTCCAACAACAAGTATGTTTTAGCTAGTAAGTTTTTAGTAACTTAGCAATAATACAAAATTTTTTTTTTAATTTTTTTTTTTTTTTTTAGTTTTCAGCGGACACAGCATCTTTGTTTGTATGTGGTGCTGAGGATCGAACCCGGGCCGTATGCATGCCAGGCGAGAGTGCTACCACTTGAGCCACATCCCCAGCCCAATGAAAAATAGTACATAATACAAAATCATTATGAAAACTCCACTGTTTTTCCAGATCCAAGAATACCTGGCAGATCCCAGTGGCTCAGGAGGCTGAGGCAGGAGGATGGTGAGTTCAAAGCCAGTCTCAGCAAAAGCAAGGCACAAGAAACTCAACAAGACCCTGTCTCTGAATTAAATACAAAATAGAGTTAGAGATGTGGCTCGGTGGTCGAGTGCCCCGGGGTTCAATCCCCAGTACCAAAAAAAGATACCTGGCAGAAAAACAATATCTTTTTTCATTACCTTCTCAATAACTTTGAAGGCTGACAACAATCAATTTTTTGATTATGCTATCAGAGGCATTTCATTATTCTTATCAGTTCTTGAAGAGAAGGAAATTTCTACTTCTGCCAAATATACAAGTTTCTTTTTTTTTTTTAAGAGAGGGTGAGAACGAGAGAGAGAGAGAGAGAGAGAGAGAGAGAGAGAGAGAGAGAATTTTTTTAATATTTATTTTTCAGTTTTCGGCAGACACAACATCTTTGTTTGTATGTGGTGCTGAGAATCAAACCGGGGCTGCACGCACGCCAGGTGAGCTCGCTACCACTTGAGCCACATCCCCAGCCCAGTAGTTTCTGATTTATCCCCACAGTCCCTGGCATTGAACCTAGAGGGCTCTACCACTGAGCTACATTCTTAGTTCTTTCTATTTTTTATTTTAAGACAGGGTCTAAGTTGCCCAGGCTTGTCTGGAACCTGTACTTTTCTTGCCTCAGCCTCCAGAGTAGCTGGAATCACATACATACACCACTGTATCCAATAACCTATTATTTTTTAAAATATGTGGGAAAATAAATAAGCTTATAAGAATTTCTGGGTATCGACTATGTACCTGGAAAATAATAGTATTTTAGGGGAAGTAAAGGGGAATAAGATAAAACAGTATTCACAGTTTAAATAATTATCTTTAATATCCCTTTTATTTGGATACATTGGTCAAACATTCTCACTTGTTTATTTATTATTAGTGATTTCTATTGTAAGGCACACAAGCAACAGATGTTTGAATGTGAACAGATTGAAATGTTAAGTGCTAATGAATCTTCAAGAAATTGTTTATAACAACACTTGTGCTGATATTTAGAAATCCTCTCAATTATTTTATTTCAATCTAATAACTTAATAATATCTCACTTACAATAAACAATAGAAAAAGAAAGAAACTACAAATCATTGGCCCAGACCTGCAAAGTTAGAATGAAGTCTGCTTTGCTAGTAGCAAATGAACTCTGATGTCACAAATAGTTTAGCCATACTTGTGAGCATATGTAACTGCTTTTATGATTATAGTACACATCATAAACATATATATAAACCCATTGGTCTTTGTCACCTAGAGTTAATACATTTTCATGGGAGTATAATACACAGCTCTTATGTACCACCCATAATAGYAAAAACTGTACAGGTTCAGTGACCTGACAGCCAAACAAGAGGCACTGAGAAAGAGCCCAGCTCTACCCACCCACCCCACCACCCACCCCCAGTACTGGGGATTGAGTCAAGGAAGGGCTTTGCACCCACTAGGCTAGTGCTCAAACACTAAGCTACATCTCCAGAAAAAGTCAGTCTCTCTTTTAATTTTTATATATTTATTTTTTAGTTTTAGGTGGGCACAATATCTTAATTTTTTATTTTTATGTGGTGCTGAGGATGGAACCCAGTGCCCCATGCATGTTAGGTGAGCGCTCTGCCACTGAGCCACAACCCCAGCCCAAAGCCCATCTTTTTTTTTTTTTTTTAAATATTTTATATATTTATTTATTTTTTTTAAGAGAGAATGAGAGAGGGGAGAGAGAGAGAGAGAATTTTTAATATTTATTTTTCAGTTCTCGGCGGACACAACATCTTTGTTGGTATGTGGCGCTGAGGATCGAACCCGGGTCGCACGCATACCAGGCGAGCGCGCTACCACTTGAGCCACATCCCCAGCCCCAAAGCCCATCTTTTTTGAAGGCACTTAAATACCTGATCCAGACTAAAGGAACTTTTTGACAGAAATCCCTGGAACAAGGAATACAGTGTTAAACATTTAAACAAGGGTTGAGGGACTGTAAAATTCAGCAAGCAGAAGTTCAAAATTGAATGGGAATAAAAAGGGTGAATTTTTGTGTAGGCATGGAACTTCCCTACAAAATATAAAGTTCCAGGGGATAATTTTGCTACATTCATTCCACCACTTTCAGTTCTTCTACTCTTGAGAATAATTAGCATTCAACATAATAAAGATAGAAAGGCTCATAAAAAAATTACTCACTCTTTGTACTCTCTCCCCAGTTCTTAGAATCCACTAAATCACCTGAATGCAGAGCACACATAATCTTCCGAGCAATAGTGGAGAGTGGTATCTTAGAGAGATCAAAGCCTACACAGGTCTCACAATTTTCCATTTTCAAAAAGTCCTAAATGTAAGGTTAACAAGATAAATATCGACATGTTAATTCTGAGACTTCATAATAATAAAGACCAGTTACTTGAAAAATGTATAAACTGAGACTTTCATTTAAAAAGTACATCAGTAACCACAGTATACAGGTTTCAATCATCTCATAATACAAATAGTAAGATGAAAACAATAACTAGAGGTTTAATTAGGGGATAACAGAAAGCAGAAAAAGAGCTAATTATGAAGTTAACCAATTATGAAGCAAAAAACCTACTCAAACACACCGTTAGAAAAATGCCTATTACTCACCTTCAACTACACAAAGCTGAAAACAGGTAAAAGTTTAAGTAGGAACAATACAGATCAAGCATCTGGTCACACATCTAAACTATCTGGCACTAATTTAAACAGTACTGTTTAACAGTATAGGAAAAACAGAATAGTAAAAAATAAATAGCAAAGAAATCACCCAAGTGAGAAGCTGATAGCTAAATATACACAAAATTCATTGCTAAAAAATTTTCAAGTGTATTAGTTTACTTAGCAAAAATAATTTTTTAATATAACAGATACAATATTTAATATAATAATACAAAAATTAACGGGTCTTACTGGCTCTGAAGCATAATTATTTCCTGATAAAGCTAAAAACATTTATTAAAAACTACCTCCTGAAAATTTTTTTAAAAACCCACCTGATATGAATAATTTTTAATTGTCATTCCATGTAACAAGTAGGTAGGTTTAGAATATTCTTAAAGGTAATCCATACAAAGTTCATAACATAATTAACAAAGATAATGTATAAACTGGGCTCTCAAGGAATAAACTACTCAAAATTATTTTATACTAATTTTAAAATAATTTCTAATTGTCCAGATACTACACTAATATCCCATATTAAATATATTCCATCACTGAAGTATTTTCACTCCTAAGAAATTCAAATGTTCATCCTAAACCCTTTTAGCAAACACTTTTATATAATTCTGAAATTTTAATTTWAAATTTCATTTGAAAGCTATTTATGACATGTTAGTAAGTCACACTAAAGTCAAAGCATTATTGAGATCTGTCTTGCAGAAATGTTGGCCCCCCAAAACACACTGCCTGAAGTGAAAATGGCCAGAGGGGTCCTGACACTCTTGGTATAAGTAGGAATGTTAAATCTCAGTCTACAATAGGGAATTAGGAGAAAATACAGTTTAAGTGGCAGAATTTTACTTCAGTCAACTATAAGGGGATTTAGCTATTTCATTTATAGTAGTCCTTTCTGACTCATGGGTGATATATTCCAAACCCCAGTGCATTAATGAAACTGAAACAGTATTAACTCTATATGTCTGATAAATGACAAGGTTATCAGCTTACTAGCAGGCAGGTAGCATATACAACACAGATATGCTGAGAAAAGGAATGATTCAAGAACAAAGTGGGATGGTTTGAGATTCCATCACACTACAGACTCTGAAGCAACTTAAAACTATTTCCTAAATCAATCTCAAATATTTTGATATGTGGATGCTGACACATAATGGGCATTGGGGGAAATAGAAGTACATTGGAGTAGACAATGGGGAAGGAAGGGAAGGGTGGGGGTATGGGAATAGATAAGTCAGTAGAATGAATCAGACAGAACTTTCCTATGTTCATATTTCACATGAGCAGTGAAACTCATCATGTACAACTACAGGAATGGGAACCTAATAAGTTATACTCCACATATGTATGTTAAAAAATACTAACATGTATATCTAAAAAGAACAAATAAAAATATTTTAACAACTTACTATTTCCATTTAATGTTTTTGGATCACAGTTGACCTCCAGTAAATAAAACCTTGGAAAGCAAAACTCAAAAAGGAAGCATTGGTGTGTTAAGGTCTATAGATTTTAAAATGTCAGTTCAAAGTTCTACACATTTTTAAAAATACTTAACACCTTCTATTTAAAAAAAATAGTAAAAGAAAAACTATTAAAAATATTTGCATTACTATAAGTAAACATTTACCAGTACTAAGTGTTATCTAGCAAATAAAGTACTGGTACTTTGAACAATTATAAAAAAAATTAATAAGGTTGAATAACTCTTATCTGAACTGCCTAGGACCAAGAGTACTTCAGATTTTAGAATATTTGCATATGTATGATGGGATATCTTAGGGATGGAAATCAAGTCTAAACATGAAATTTGCTTTTTTCATGTATAGTTTATATGCATATAATTTTACACAATTRGTGCACTTGTGTTGTGTAACATGAGGTCAAATGAGAAATTTTCCACTTATAGTGTCATGCCTGCACACTGAAATCAGATTTTGAATTTTCCAATTAGGGATGTTCAACCTCTATAACACTTGGATCCATTAAATGAAATAGTCCATTGATCTCAAATTTCAAAACATCATCATGTTTATTAGATATAATCTCCTATTACATAAAACATTAAAACAGATGTAAAGATTCAGTTTTTAGTAATTTTCAATTTTTAAAACTAACATCCTTAATCTTTGATTGGTTTTCTAGATTCTCCACAACATCTTTCAGGTAGTCTCCATCTTTTAAAAAATATACATATAATTCTCTTTCCATTTGATGCAATTTATTAGTTGCCAAAATTTTTCTTTTTGTCTTCACATCAGCAAGAATATCAGTAAGGAGATGATTTAGCTTATTCAATTGGGATTCAACTTGATGAAATTGTTCTGTTAATTCCTAAAAGAGAAAAACAAAAATGCTATTAATTCAGCAACTTTACTCCTAACACAAATTATAATTTATAAGACAAAATGATAACTTTTTAAAAATAACTTCCCCCTATTCTGATCTTAGTTGCTCTCCTTATATCAAAGATGACATTAGGCATTTGTTTTTTAGGGACTGGCTAGCTTCACTTAGCATAATCTGCTCTAGTGCCATCCATTTCCCTGCAAATTCCATGATTTTGTCATTTTTTAATGCAGAGTAATACTCCATTGTGTATAAATGCCACATTTTTTTATCCACTCATCTATTGAAGGGCATCTGGGTTGGTTCCACAGTCTAGCTATTGTGAATTGTGCTGCTATGAACATCGATGTAGCAGTATCCCTATAGTACATTCTTTTAAGGTCTTCAGGGAATAGCCCGAGAACGGCTATAGCTGAGTCAAATGGTGGTTCCATTCCCAGCTTTCCCAGGAATCTCCATACTGCTTTCCAAATTGGCCGCACCAATTTGCAGTCCCACCAGCAATGTACAAGTGTACCCTTTTCCCCACATCCTCGCCAGCACTTGTTGTTGTTTGACTTCATAATGGCTGCCAATCTTACTGGAGTGAGATGGTATCTTAGGGTGGTTTTGATTCCGCATTTCTCTGACTGCTAGAGATGGTAAGCATTTTTTCATGTACTTGTTGATTGATTGTATATCCTTCTCTGAGAAGTGTCTGTTCAGGTCCTTGGCCCATTTGTTGATTGGGTTATTTGTTATCTTATTATTTAATAATAAGAGCATGAGAAGAAGATCACCATTAAATAGGGTCGAGAGGGGGGAGGGAAAGAGAGAGAGAAGGAAAATTGCATGGGAAAAGGAAGGAGACCCTCATTGTTATACAAAATTACATATAAGAGGAAGTGAGGGGAAAGTGGAAAAAAACAAGAGAGAGAAATGAATTACAGTAGATGGGGTAGAGAAAGAAGATGGGAGGGGAGGGGAGGGGAGGGGGGATAGTAGAGGATAGGAAGGGCAGTGGAATAAAACAGACACTAGTATGGCAGTATGTAAAAAAGTGGATGTGGAACTGATGTGAATCTGCAATATGTATACGGGGTAAAAATGGGAGTTCATAATCTGCTTGAATCAAATGTATAAAATATGACATGTCAAGAGCTTTGTAATGTTTTGAACAACTAATAATAAAAAAAAAAAAGAAGCCACCGTTTGGCAAAAAAGGAAAAAAAAATAAAAATAACTTCCCATAATTTCAGCAATATAAGCCATGATTAAAAATCTACACTAGGTTTATGGATTCCACATAAAATTAACTGCAACTACTGATAATTTTAAGTGATTCAAAGCAAACTCTTTTATATGTAAACTTGATATATAAACTGCTCTGTGTATTCCTATATTCAAAGATATTAATGAATACCTGCCATGTGAAAAGCACTCTTTCAGAGACTATGGATACAAGAATAAACAAAATCTTTCTCACGGAGTTTAAATTCTCCTTAATCAATCAAACTCTATTTTATCCTAATCTCTGGTTACTCTATACACAGGTACAGAGAAACACTTGAAATGAAGACCAATAAAAAAGAATTAACTCAATAAACATCTCCATTTTTCTTTCATTGTCTTACAGGACAAAATTGCATACAACATTCAACAAAAACCATCCTGACTTATTTTTCCTGCTCAAGAAGATTAATATGGACTCTTCTCACTTAATAAATTCAATTTCTTCATGTCTTAGCACTTCAAACATTCTACTAACAAATTTTCATAGCTTTCTAACCAAACATTCTATTCTTATAAATTTTAGCCAGTATCACCAGAGGTTTTCCAACTACCTCAACATTCCACAGTTTCTCAGCATGGTCCACAAGCATCAAAATCACCAGGGTGCTTATTATGAATATATGAATTCCTATATCTCACTTCAGAATATTACTCGATCTCTGCAATAGGGCCAGGAGTACACATTTTGTTAGGTTCCATGGTGATTCCAAAGTACAAGTTTTACAGAGCAGTACTACTTCTTTTTTTTTTTTTTTTCAGTTGTTGATAGACCTTTATTTTCTTTATTTATATGTGGTGCTGAGAATCAAACCCAGTGCCTCACACATGCCAGGCAAGTGTGCTACAACTGAGCCCCAGCTCCAGCCCCAGCCCAGAGCAGTACTACATTTCCTAAAAATGAAGTAATTTTGCCATGTTTGTTTTACATCTAGTAGTCTCCTCTGAGGAAAAATGTGATTAATGTAGTATACTGAGAAACAATCTCACCTTTAATTAAATACTAAAGATCTTAGTTGATAAAATATTCCTACAGATATGGAAAAATGTTCAGCTTCATTTTAACAATAAAACTCTAACTGAAAAAATTGTTATATGACATTTTATATCATATTGAGCTAGGGAAAAACATTAATAATACATCATGATAAATTATAATAAAACTATACAATTTTAGGGATTCTAGGATGCATTTTTTTGATCTTAACACATCTAAAATCAAGATACTTCTTATAATCAAGATCATATGATTGCTTCTGGACAAATCCTTTCAAGAATGCTTTCACACCAACATTCTTGATATATAGTGTGAAAAAATACATGCCACTTTGAATTAAAAACAATTTAGAAGAAGTTGAATGTGAAGTTTTAGAAGTACTCTAATCATTTTAATTGGCTTATTTTTTCCTTTTAATGCATATTTAACAGTGAAATAAAACAAAAATAAGTAAAGCTATGTCCACAAAACCTAAAAGATGCTAGTAAATATGAAAAAATGAAAATTTCAAAAACAAAGCATTATGTCAGTTTAACTGGAAGTTTTTTTCTTAGCAATTCATAAAATGATAGTATACCATTGGGCAATGGTGCCTAGGGATACTAAATAGGGATACTGCTGATATTAGAAATAAGTGCTATTCCCCAAGAAAAGAAATATGGTAGCATCATCAAAGAAAAAAAAAAGAAAAATGTGTATATCTCAAAAACTCCAATGATCCTACTTCCAAGAATTAACCCAAGTGAAAAATATCCAACAACAAAAAGCTAAATACACAAAGGATGTAGATATGTAGATGATGCTGATGAAGAACAAACCCCAAACAAAAAACAAAACAAAACAAAAAAAAAAACAACTATCAAAATATCCAAAAAGGGGAATGGTTTCTGAAATTGTGGCACAGTAATTAAAGTACTGTAATATTAGAAATTGATATTTAGAAAGTGAAAATGTTTATTTCAAAATGCTAAGAAAAAGAGAATAATAAAATCTATAAAAGAGAACCATAAACAAAGAAGGATGGCACAGAATATTAGTATCAGAAAAAAGAACTAGAACAGAATGTTATTATGTAATGCTTTGATTTACCAAAACTTAAATCCACTAGGGTAATTATTCACCAAAATTTAAAACCTTGGACATAACTTATAAAAATTGACTCAAAATAAATAAAAATTGATTAACTACAAAGAGAAAATGTCAAATCTATCATAATAATGACAATTTTTACACATTTCTCTAACAGAGCAACAAGACAAAATCAGTAATGGGAAATAGTCTTAAAAAACCAATCAGATACCATTTCACACCCATTACAGTAGCTGCTATTAAAAAAAAAAAACAGTTCAGAACTGTTAGTGCATATAGTATCAAACAAAACAGACATGAAGGCAGAAAATAAGTATTGGCAAGAATATGGAGAAATTAAGAAACTTTATGCATTACATGTACATGGACATGTACAATAGTACAGTTGCTGTGGCAAGCAGGCAATTCCTCAAAAAGTTAAATATTAGAATTACCATAATCCAGCAGTATATACTCCTAGGTATATACCCCAAAGAAATGAAAACAGGAAGTTACCAGTACACCAACATGTAAGGCCACATTTTTCACAACATTGAAAAAGGTGGTAATACAAATGCCATGAACAGATGAATAAACAAAGCAGTGTTATGTGCATGTGCACACACACACACACACACACACACACACAATGAATTATTCAGTATTAAAAAGGAAATTCTAACACATGCTACAACATGGATGAACCTTGAAAACATTATGTTAATGAAATAAGCCAATCACAAAAATATAAATATATGATTTCACTTATATGGGGAATCTAGAATAGGCAAACTCCTGGAGACAAAAAGTAGAATAGTGATTGTTACGAGTTGAACAGAGAAGAAATGGGGAGCTACTGACCAATTTGTAGTTTCTGAGAGGGATGATGAAAAATTTCTAGAAATATACAGTACTCATGACTGCATAACCATGTGAATGTACTTAATGCCACTGAACTGTTCACTTAAACATGGTTAAAACTGCAAATTTGGGCTGAGGTTGTAGCTCAGCAGTAGAGCACTTGACTAGCATGTGGGTTCGATGTGGGCCCTGGGTTCGATCCTTAGCACCACATAAAAATAAGTAAATAAAATAAAGGTATTGTGTTTATCTACAACTAAAAATATTTTTTAAAAAACTGCAAATTTTTTGTTTTATATGTTTTATCACAATTAAAAAAAATTATTATTGCTGTGGGTATAATGTGACTGCATGACCAATRTAATTCTTCAATCTGTACACTAAGAAAAATGAGAAATTGTATCCCATCTGATTCAAATGTAAAAAATTAATTAATTTAAAAAAAATAAATAAACAACAAAAACCTCAAAAACCCTAATCATAGGCCTTTCTGTTTCAAAGGAAAGGYAGGCTAGCTTTTCAGATCAATCCTTTCACAGGAAACAATATAAAAAGCTCAGGGCTGGGGGTATTCCTTGGTGGCAGAGAGCTTACCTAGCATTAACAAGGTCCTGTTTTTGATCCCCAGAATAGCCAAAAAAATAAAATAAAAAGATCAATGGGGTTGTGACTCAGTAGTAGAGCGCTTGTGTAGCACGTACAAGGTGCTGGGTTCAATCCTCAGCACCACATAAAAATAAATAACAAAGATATTGTGTCCAACTAGAACTAAAAAAATATTTTAAAAAAAAGATGAATGAGGGGCTGGGGTTGTGGCTCAGTGGTAGAGTGCTTGCCTAGCATGCACAAGGCACCAGGTTCAATCCTCACCTCCATATAAATGTAAAATAAAGATATTGTGTCCACCTAAAGCTTAAGAATAAACATTTTAAAAAATGAATGAATTTTTTTTAAATCAAACTAAACAAAAGCTTCCTAAAAGCAATAAAAAGTCCACGGTCCCCAGAAGGTACAGAGTCAAACAGAAGACTCTCTATAATAAGCTGAGGACCCAAAGGACAACCTTAAGATTAGATTGGCCCAGAAGTAAAACTCTTGATTAGAATTATAGTCCAACAGAATCACCTAGCTCCTCCAATGACTCTAGGTTTGCTATAAATTTTCAGTTCAGAACTGTTAGTGCATATAGTATCAAACAAAATAGATATGAAGGCAAAAGCATTTAAGGAGTATTTCATAATAAAAGGCTCTATTCACTGGGAGATAATAAAAATAYTCAGTTTCATTAATAATAAAAATTTCGGGCTGGGGCTATGGCTCAGTAGAGCGCACTTGCCTGGAATGTATGAGGCACTGGATTCGATTCTCGGCACCACATACAAATAAATAAAATAAAGGTCTATCAACAACTAAAAAAATAAATAAATAAAAATTTCATCCTTGATATGGCATTTAAATAAATAAAATGTCTTAATGTAAGATGATGGAACAATCTGGTTATTCATAGGAGAAAAAAGTAAATAAAAACAAAATGAGAATTCTACCTCATTGGTATATAAAAACAAACTTAAAGGGACTACAATTATAATATTAAGAACAAACTTTAACAAAACACACAGAACAGGGCTGGGGTTGTGGCTCAGCAGTAGAGCACTTGCTTATTAGCATGTGTGAGGCACTGGGTTTAATTCTCAGCATCACATATAAATAAATAAAATAAAGGTTCTTTGACAAAAAAAAGAGAGAGAGAGAGAGAGAGAAAACAAAGATATTAGAAAAGGCACACCAAAAAGAAYAATGAGATAAAAATTAAAATCCTTAATCCCAGCAACTCAGGAGGCTAAGGCAGGAGAATCACAAGTTTGAGACCAGCCTCAACAACTTAGCAAAACCTTGTCTCAAAAAAATAAATCAAAGAGGAAAAAACAGAAGAAGAGTGAAAAAGACAAGTCACAAATATATTTCACACATGATTAACAAAGACACTGAAACATATAAAGAACTCCTACAAATGATTTAAGGACATAAAAAATGGGCAAAAGACATGAATAAGCAATTCTCAAAAAGGTGAATGATCAATAAAGAAGTGAAGGGAGGCTAATAATTGGAGAAATACAAATTACAACCCAAAATGAACATTGTTTTTCCCCATGGGACTGGCAGAAATTTCTAAGTCAACACTATGTGATGAAAAGGATACAAGTAAATAGTACCTCTTGAGATACTGCTGGTGCCATATGATACAACCACTTTAGAAAACAATTTGATTTACAGGATAAACACTCCTAATCTAAAATCCCAAAAGTGAAACATTCTAAGTGCCATGCCAGGGCTTAAAAAGTTTTTATTTAGATTTTCAGAATAGAGATGCTCAACTAGTAAATCATATGTAAATATTCCAACATCCAAAAAACTCTGAAATAGGGCTGAGGTTGTAGCTCATCGGTAGAGTGCTCACCTTGCACATGCAGGACCCTGGGGTTCAATCCTCAGCACCACATAAAAATAAATAAGTGAAATAAGGGTATTGTGTCCAACTACAACTAAAAAATAAATATTTAAAAAAAAATAAAAATGAGTTAAAAAAAAAAAAACAACAACCCTGAAATCTGAAATATGTCTGGACTCAAGAATTTCAGGGCTGGGGATGTGGCTCAAGCGGTAGCGCACTCGCCTGGCATGCGTGCKRCCCGGGTTCGATCCTYAGCACCACATACCAACAAAGATGTTGTGTCCGCCGAGAACTAAGAAATAAATATTAAAAATTCTCTCTCTCTCTCTCTCTCTCTCTCTCCTCTCTCACTCTCTTTTAAAAAAAAAAAAAAGAATTTCAGATAAGGAACACTCAACTTGTACTTATTAAACTGAACATGTGCATATCCTGTAATCCAGTAATTCCACTTATATTAGTGTGTATGCATGTGTATACCAGAGGCTCTTTTAAAAGTGCAACAATGAAACATGCAGTTTAGGACTATTCACAGCAGTGTAATTTAAAGTAGCAGAAACTGGAAATAAGCTAAATATCAACATAACAGATAACTGTGGAATTTCATATAAAAGAATATTAATTAGATAAAAAGGAAAATAGCTTTATATATATTTAAGTAGATGAATCTCAAAAATAATGTTAAGAAACATGCCAAGGGGCTAGGGATGTGGCTCAAGCAGTAGCGCGCTCGCCTGGCATATGTGCGGCCCGGGTTGGATCCTCAGCACCACATACAAACAAAGATGTTGGGTCTGCCGAAAACTAAGAAATAAATATTATAATTCTCTCTCTCTCTCTCTCTAAAAAAAAGAAAAGAAAAGAAACACGCCAAGTTGTTAAATACATATGTACCAGGCATATAAAGTCCCAAAACATATAAATCTGAATATACAGTCTAGGAAAATATACATGTAATAAAACTATAAAGAGAAGCATGGGAATCATAAAAAAAAATATTAAGTACAGTAGTTACTCCTCAAAAAAGAGAGGGCAATTCAATCAGAAGAACATATATCTATAAGTGTACACAGAAGACTTAAAAGATAGTGGGCAATCCTCGATTTGCTAATGTAAATTTAAAAATATAGATCTTGATTTTAATTTTTTTCTAACATTTAACATTTGTAGTGTCTGAAAAAAAATCTATAAACTTTTATATTCTGTGCATAGTAATTAAAACTATTTGAGCCAGGTGTGGTGGTACATGCCTGTAATCCCAGTGGCACAGGAGGCTGAGGCAAGAAGATCACAAGTTTGAGGCCAGCTTCAGCAACTCAGTGAATAAAAACAGGACTGGCGATCAGTGGTAAAATGCCCCTGGCTTCAATTCCCAGTTACCCGCCCCCAACCCACACACATACAAAAAAGCTACATGAATAAAAATCCAGAGATATAAAAAATGAATTTTATATTAGGGCAATGGGATAGGGGTGATATATCCTTATAATATTTTATTTACTATCTCTTATAATGCTTTCCCCCTGGGGTGCTCTACCACTGAGCTTCATTTCCATCCTTATATTTTTACTGAGACAGCATCTTACTAAGTTACCTAGGCTGCCCCTGAATTGGCCATCCTCCTGCCTCAGCCTCCCAAGTATCTGGGTTTACAGGTGTGTATCACCAACACATTAAGGCAAATACCCACCTGATCACTAAGTAAAAGCTGATTTCCTCCTTGATACAAAACATCACAAAGCACGTCAACATTATTATTCAATTTGGACAGAAATAAAAAATGTTCTTGAGCAGTTATTGCCAACTGATCTTGTACTAGAGAAACATCCTGTTTCAATTTCTCAGCTGCTTCCTCCAGGTTTCCATGGGTTACAAACAATTCTCTTTTTTTATTTTCTCCCTCTAAAAGTTGATAAAGCCTAAAATGTAAAAATGAAAATTACAGAAGATTCTTAAGTTAGCATAGTTCTCAAAATTATAATTAGGACATTTGCAGAATAGCTGAGTAAAACTAAATAATATTAACTTGTAAGCTAAAAATCAAGCAACTAAAATCATTCAACTCTTATACCATTCCAGTACAGAAGCTTATATTCTAACTATTGCATCTGAAGTCTGTTTTTCCATCTTCCAAGTTTTAAAGATAAAATTTGTCTGAACTTTAAATACTATTAACCCACTTCAAACAAACTATGCTTTAGTGATACATTTCTTTCACAGAAAACATCTATGATGCAGTAGCATCAGCAGTGAATTTTGAAACAGAAGACCTAGGTCTGAGTTCTTTATTATATGAGACTCAGGGCAAATCAATCTCTGAGATTTAACTTCTGTATCTCAATACCTATTTTACAGGATTGCAATGGGATTAAGAGAAAAAAACTAAAAATGTAAATAATGCTAAAATGCAAAAAATAAAGGACTACAAACAACAAGCTTACTACTTCAATTTGTATTCGGTTGATAAATTAAAATCTGATGAGCACTGAGACCACTTTAACACAACATTGATAGCAGAAAAATCCATCATTCTATAGGGCAAATAAAAAAATCTGAGGCAATACCTTCCACACATATCTGACAAAAAGGATCTGCTCTTTCTCTTAAAAATAAATGCATGTTGGGGCTGAAGATATAGCTCAGTTGGTAGAGTGCTTGCCTTGCATGCAGAAGGCCCTGGGTTCAATCCTCAGCACCACCAAAATAAATAAATAAATAAATTTGATGTTAGGGTCCAGTTTCAYTTTTAAAAATAAATAAATAAATTGTGTGTGTTTTTAAATTGTATTGGACTTTTTAAAACTGGCTGAAGTCCAAGGTTGCCAATTATGATCCTGTGGGATATAACAATTTTAGGAGGCATCATTCACATAGATCATGACATCGATGACTCCCCAAAATTGTACAATAAAGTAGTGCTAAGTTCTATTCATGTTCTTTTTTTGGTTGTTATTGTCAATGGACCTTTATTTTATTTATTTCTATGTGGTGCTAAGAATCGAATCCAGTGCCCCACACATGCTAGGAAAGCTCTCTACCACTGAGCCACAATCCAGCCCTCATGTCCCTTAATTTTATTAACAAGAAAACAGCTAGGGATATAGCTCAGTGGCAGAGCACTTGACCTAGCATGAGCAAGGCCCTGGGTTCAATCCAGGACCTTGCATTAAAAGAGAAAAAAAAGATTAGATGATTTTACTTTAGTCCTGGAAAAAATTCAAGAGTAGAATCATCCAGAGTTTTGAAATACTACTAAATCCTCCAATTTCAGTATCCCAGTACTATCAACTGCTTAAATATACAGAAAATTCTCAATGATCCACCTGACCAGACACAGAAATAAAATCTTTTCCCCAACTCTACTGCCACCTTTTCCAAATGCAGTCAGTCCCCTGCCTAGCAATACCTATGATTCCAAGCTATATTTGAACTTCCTGCCCCAAATCCAAAATGAGGTGTCTATAATGGTGCCTAAACAGGAGTCAAAACTTGTATCTTATTCATTCCTCCAATTCATCCAATTCAACTTTTTAGTTGCATTCAGATCTAACATGAATGGAAAGGGAGAAAAAAATAAATAAAACAGGGAAAAGAAGCCTGTAAAAAAAAAAAAATAAGAGAATAAAGTTCAAAAATAAAGTATAAACAATTTTTTAAACTTCTATAACTCTAGTTCAAACTCTCTCAAGAATTTCCCAAAAACAACAAAAAAATTACTTAGGAAGAAACCAAATGCACATACCTATGAGTAGAATAATCCTTGGTATCAATGGTATTCCTTGGATTTATCTGCTGAAAGACTGATGGATCTGTTAACATTTCTAATCGCTGGTAGAGCATCATGTTACTTTGACTAAGTTCTTGAACCAGGTTTTCAAGTTGACGATACGTGTCCCAATGTTTCCTTAATTCAAGTTCATATGATAACTGTACAAGTTCAAATGATGCCTTTTGTTTTATCAACTGGTTTAAAACTAACTCTTGTCTTGCTGTGTAATAATCTTGTTTAGCAATCTGCAGATCAAAATCTCCCTTTACAACTGGCATATTCAATAACTGGGCATTCTCTTTTACCATAGCAGGCAAAGTTTTATCTTTTATATGAGTGATTTGTTCTTCAAGTTTCAGAATCTCACTGTTCAAGCTAGAAATTTTAGCATCCAAATTTTCTTTGCCAACAGCCTACACACACACACACACACACACAAAAAAAAAAAAAAAGCAATTACATTTAAAACTGTAGGTTTAAACAAAATAGTTTTTAAAGATTATTTTCACTTTCTATTTGAGGTGATAATAAGCTCAATGAATAGAAACTAATTTCCTATTAGTATAAGCCAAAATTACAGCTTAAAAAGGAAAAATATGAACTGAGTAAGGCCAACATGAATTACTAAACTTTAATGCTATTATATATACACATACACATGCGCGCGTGTGTACACACACACACACACACACACACTCTCACTCATGACTACCAAAATAAAATAAGATCTCATCATGCTTGTTTTACTTAATCAAAAACATAATTACCACACTATTCACTGAATGCAAGTAGATATTCTCAGCTAATTTTAGCACAGAACTCAATAATTTCTTTATTATGCCAAAGTTTGTCAGTTATAGTAACTCACCATGTTAGTATTCAGATTCAAAAAAGTTACATTTTTACCCAACAATCTAGTGGTTACATTTCTAAACAAGCTTCCCAAAACTCCATATAGAAAGCTACAATATATGTATACATTCTCAACAAGGAAGCAGGAATTCAGTCCATAGAACCTGGAGCTCTGATTTCCTTACCATCATGCTCTGGTCAGAACAAACAGGAGAATATCCAGAATTAAGACATTAATTAAGATATTAATTTCCCATCATAAAAAGGGAATTTGAGTTCAGCCTATATCTGAATTAAACAAATTTCAGATTCACAATGCAAAACATTTTTTTTAAACTAGGTAATGTGGTTGGGATTATAATGATTATTTCTTCCCTCCTTTAATATGAGCTAATTGTGCAAAACACTGACACATATCACAAATAAGCATTAAACAGAGAAAATTAAAAATTATAATTTCTTTATATGCCCTTTCTGAAGTATTTTAATAGTAACATTAAATCCTGTATTCCTAACAATTATGACATGAATCCAGTTAGTTTACCTTGCTGGTTAGGTTATGAAGATTCTCCTCTGTCCATTTTATGCTCGACTTCATGCTCGAATTATTTGCTTTCAAGTTAATCAACTGATGTTGAGCACAGATATATGCTAGCTGCAGCCTGGCCATCTCTAGTCGTCTCTCCTCAAGAATTTCTTGATTATCACAAATAGATGGAGTGTGTATATCTAATAGTTGAAAATTTTCCTCATTTGAACTTTCAACTACTTCATGTATACCCTGAAAGAACTGCTTTTTGGTATACAAGGTTAATGCTGCTGTGCTTTGCTCTTCTTGGCTTAGATATTTTTCCAAGGAAAACTGAGATAAAAACACCATTGGATTTGTTCCTTGACCTAAATTAGAATGTCTAAAGAACATCATCAATTTAGTAACTCCATCAGTAAGAGCCTGAAGTTCATTACTGAGCTTAGTATTCACAGAACTTAGAATTCCTTGACTTTGCTTCAGCTTTTTAGTGGATTCTTCTTTTTTAGCATTCAATCTCAGAGATTTGTGGCTACTTACTGAAGCCATCAACTGGTATTTATTACGTCGCTGAATTTTTAAGTTTTTTAATCTCTGAAGAGTTTGAACCTCATCCTCTAATTTCTCTAGCTCTTTGTCATCCAGTTTAGGTGTCTTCAAATCAGAAGTTTTGCAGGTTTTAAGAACTTCATCCAATGCTGACCCTTCTAGGATGGGTTTGCCCGATTTTTGAAGAATGGTAAAAGCTTCCAATTCTTTTTCAGACAATACATTATGTTCATTCACATTCCCACAAAACCATTTCAAAAATGATTCATCTTCAGCATTTTCAAATAGCCAGTCAAAATCTTCTCCATTAAGAATATCAGCTTTGGGATAAGCAATTTTTTTTAATGTCTCCACAAACTCATTCCCAGAACTCATGGTCTACTACCCTAGTTTTATGTATTTGATATGGCTTTATGGTGCTCTATTTATAAAAAATAAATCCAAGTAGAAACAAAACCAATTTTTACATAAGTCCATAGAGAAGGGGGGAAATATTTTTAGAATCTACTGTGATTCTTCCTAGGGGGGAAGAAAATAAGTATTAGACCCCAAATAAGGCAAATGATTTTTTAAAAATACAGATTAAACAGGATATGGTATCTGGAAGCCAGTAAACCAAAAGGTAGTAGCAGCTACAAGGTTTGATGAAGATAAAGTAAAACAAAAACAATTAGGGTATTTCTTAAAAAACGAAACCAGTAATGAAAACTTAATTAATAATAAAATCTATTTTCCCCCAAGATAAAATGGTTTTATATAGTGATTTTTTTAATCCAAAATGAGTGTATACAAACAAATCCAGGCACCATGTGGCTAAGTAGACTCTATTCCATGCACTCTCTATGTAAGAAAATTTAAAGAAAAAAAAAAAGGCAATCTCTGGGGAGGAATCAACTATTTACCTCAATGAGTGAATAAGCATTCACCAAGCTGGCAAGAATCAATTTCCAGGTCTGATCAACCTAGTTCAGAGAACACCAGGCTTCAGGTTTTAGAACCCCTCTCAACTTGAAAAGTACTAAGGTACCCAACAGTCAAGTAAGAACATTTCAGACATTTGTTGTTTCCAACAGACGCATCGCTGAAAGATCCACCACGACTTAGCCAAGGGAATGTCAGCAAGGTGGCAAGACCTGCGGATTAATGACCATGAAGTCTGAATACATTTGAGTGTCTGCTCCCCAAATCTCTGGGGTTTCTTTTTTGTCTGTTTGCTTTTGGTGCAATCCATTTATGACACTTGTGTAGGTTATAAAACACACATGAACAAAAATCACCCAACGGGCCTTAAAAAGAAGCTCCACAAACTGCAGACAGGTGGCTGGCTCCGCAGGAGCCGCCCTCTCCGCCCGGCGCACCCTGGACCCTCCGCCACACCTCACCCTCCCAATCCTCATCCCGCCCCAGCCCTGTCACCCCCCAAGTCCTTCACCCCGCCCCACCGTCCCCAAGTTCCTCACCGGCACCGCTGACTCCAAGTCAGTTCCAGGTCCGTCCCCAGGTCCCTCACGGCGCTCCGCCGTCCCCAGGTCAGCCCCCAAGTTAACCCCCAGGTCCCTCACCACGCCCCGCCGTCCCCAGATCCCTCACCGCGCCCCGCCGCCCCAGCCCGGCTCCTAGGCCCAGGAACCGCTACTCGTGCGCGCGAACGAAGGGTCAGAGGGGCGCAGGCGCGTCTCGAGGTCGCCTTACCTCAGCGGCCGCCGGCTCCCACTAGGCTATGGCCCGCGCGCCTCGCAATGCCTCACGGGAGCGCCGGGAGGAGGAAGCCGGGAAGAGGGCGCGGAGCAGTCTGCGCAGGCGTGGTGCCACAGTGGGCGGAGCCAGTGAGGCTTGGGGCGGAGCCGAGAGGGCCTCGCCCCGGACCAGGCKGCCTCTGTAGGGCAAGATGATTGGCTAGGCTGCAGAAGGCCCGCCCCCACCCGCTCCGCCCCAGGGCTGCGTGGGGAGGCTCGCTCGGCCCTTAACTCCTTAGCCTCCGCCCGCGGCGCCCSCTGGCGAACCGTCCTCAGGTCCATTTTACGGGTTCTACGCTCCGTACCCCAAATGCCGACCCTGTCACGTCACTTCTAGGGAACAGAAAGACTGGGCCCGACGGGCCCGCCGACTCAGCCTGTGGCTCCCCTGCGGCGTAATCCGGCAGGACGCCAGAAATGAGGCTCGCCAGAGGACCGAGGCCCTGGTCCAGTGGGAACCGCGCCTGGCACGTTTGAAGGGCCAGCGAGTATTGTCTGAAGACTCCTTTACGATGACGTGATTTTGAAAAACACTAAACTCCCAAGCCCTCACCTAACATCTAATCAAAAGCTGACTTCCCCCACAATCCCATATCAGAACATCCAAAATATAACCCACATAAGCACGGAGTTGGGTGTCAAGGATGTACGGAGCTCAGCGAGGACAGAACGCTCTTTCCGAAGCGGATGCCAGAAACACAGGCGGTCAATGAAAGAATGCTGAAATAAACTGCTTGCTAAATTTGATGTAAATTTGGTGGATGCCCTACAGTGACACGGGACCTTCCAGGGTTATCATTCGTATTGGCCAGAATGTATTTGTATGGGGCAGAATTTGTGCATCTTTACCAAAACTCATTTGCAAAGTTAACTTTGCAAAACTCTTCCCTAAGTTAACTTCTGCATTTGCAAGGTGTAGGCTTTGGTTGTTAGAAAATAGTCGGTACTATTGCAGCGACAAACGATTCTAAGGTGGCTTCTTAAACAATGGTCTGGTCCAATGTGACTAGGTAGAAGTCATTCTGGATCATTTTTCTTAATGTTTTTAAGGAGTTAAAAAAAATATATATGTTCCTAGACAGATGAATCCAACTCGAGTCAAGATACCTGCTGTTAATTCTTAACTTGTTTTACTTTTTAATCCTCTTTTAAAAGTTAATAAAGCCTAAAATGATCTAAAACAAACAAACATTACAGGGGGTAAATTCATGGAATGCTGCCCAGTCTGTGAGCAGGGAAACCAGGGGGCTGTTCCAGGAGGACCCCTGCCGCCTGTCTGGAGGTGGGTGCAGCAGAGAACTGGTTGAGTGGGTTTGGCCAGAGGAAATGCAGGCGGTACTGACAAGAAATTTTGCTGAGGAGGCAAAGACTGAGGGAGAGGGAGGGACAAGCAAATGACAAAGATGAGGGGGTGGGAAGAAGGGTGAGGGGAGGAGTTTTGGTTTTGTTTTGTTTTAAAATGGGAGGAACTTGGGGGATATTTATAGCATGTGAAGAGGAATGCAGAAGAACTAAAAATGCAGAAAGACAGGGGCTGCTTACTGATCCCCAGGAGCAAGGGGGTGCAATCCTAAACCCTGAGTGACTCCTGGGGGATTTCCTGGATCCAGAAACTCTCCATCTGATTTTGAGTTGCTGGACACAGTTATTTGTTTGAAGGGTGTTTGTGGGACTGTAAAAATTATAACAGCATCAGCCCTCAGAGTACAAAAACAAATACAAGAGGGTGAACTATACAGACCTGGAAAGGTTTCCTAGGGTTGTATTTGAAATTTAAGAAAGCAAATATGTCCAAGGCAAGCTCTCTTTCTTCCAATCAAAATCAGTTGGGATTTGAATGGTGCCCAAAGTAGAGGGGACCCAGGAATTAATTCTCCCTGAGTAAGCCCAGGAGAATATAATGGACTAACCAGACCTAAATGCAGGGCTGTGAGGACTAGTGTTTTTGCTTATTTGCCTTTTCTCTTTCCTAGTGAAAACTTACTTTTTTCCTATCAATATTAAAAACCATCTAAGGTTTTGGGCAATGTTTTTTTGTTTGTTTGTTTGTTTTCTGTTTTTTGGATTGTTTTAAACTTTGCAAGTAGTAATGCYGTGTTCACCATTGTTTTCAGCTATAGTTTTCAGTGGAGGTGGTGTGAATCTGTTCTCCAAGCAATGGGGAAGGAGCATTTTTTAAGCTGGGGAGTGACATTCTCAGACAAACGTTAAAAGCTTTATTCTGCAATAACAGAAGTGGCAAAAGATGGAGGGGCGAACTGGCACAAGGCAACAGGGGATTGTGGAAGAGCAGAGGGAGCTGGCAGACCCCTGGAGGCCTATGAGCTTAGTCTGGAAGATTGCCATAATATGACATTTCTTCTTATTCTTCCTATTAAGAAGAAAACAGAAGACCTTGTTTAGACCATGGGGGTTGCAGGAGGGTGAAGGAAGAATGAGTTTGTTTTCCATCATGCTGGCATTCATGTGATGAAGGTGAAAACTCAGGACCGCGTTCTAGTCAGCACCACCAGGAAGGAGGCCACCACAGTGGCTGGTGGAGGGGCCTTGGAGACAGGAGAAGTGGGGCCAAGAGGGCTGGTGGATCAGAGGAGATTGGGGCAGGCTAAGGGGGCTAAAGGCAGTGAGGAAAGGGGCTGAGAGCCACTGCAGCTCCCCAGGTGAGCCACATAACCCATTCCCATGCTGGAAAGATCCCTGTGAGGCCAGTGTCCTGTGCTGCCTGGAGAAAGGGACTGGCAAAGGGGGAAGGAGCAATTAGCCCAGATCAGACCAACACCTAATTTATTTACCACAGTCCCAGCAAAAATGTGTTGGGAAGAGACACAGAGGGCTCAGGGGCCACTCCACAGAGCAGACCTGGCCTGAGCTGTCGGGAGACAGAGAGGGCAAGGGGCAGGGCAAGGGGCTGGGTCAAGGTGAAAGACAGGACAGAGCAGGTGTGTGGGTTCAATCCCAGGGGAGGAATCCCAGAGGAGGACTGTAGGAAGGTGAGCTGCAGGGCCAGCTTGGGGTCACTCTGACAGCCAAGAAGAGAGGAGGAGAGGGTGGGGATGCAGGTAGGCGTGTCGCAGGTGCTGGTATAATCCARTCCATAAGAAGGAGGTATATAGAGACGAATGTATGTGGTGGAGGGATCTGGAGGGCTGGGAGTGGCAGGGCAGGCCACGATGCTCTGGCTAGTTGAACTGCAGAAGGGGTGCTTTCCCTGAGCCTCTGCTTCCCACCTGTGAGATATACTCAGCATGACTACACCAGGTGCTATTATATAGAGTGCTTCGCACAGTCCCGGCACTCTTTACCCCCAGCAGGAACTGGTAGTGAAGATTCTAATACATAATAATATTTGGAATTCAAATGTCTACATTTACATCAACACCCAAATCCCTCCAGTTCTTGAGGCCCCAGTTGCGTTCCCAGCAGGAACTCCCTTCTTTTCTAGGAGTGCCCCCACTAACTGCCTCTGGGGCCCCACGGAGGGAGGCTCAAGAGGATTCAAGAATCCAGAGTTCACTGCTACCTGCTGGGGAAGGGGCCAGGACTGACTCACCAGAGGACCCCTCAGCTTCTCTCACAGGGCCACCCCAAAATCCGCCAGTAGGTCTCATTAGCCCATCTCCAGTGGGCCCTGCCATAGATCCAGTGTTGACCCCAAGCTTTCAGGAGGTCCCTGTCTGGCCTCCTGGCTGCACATCTTCCCCCCACTGTCCTTGCAAGGCAGGAGAGCAGGTGCACTCTTCTCTCAGGGTAGCTGGGCTTTCAGAGGATCAGGGATCTCGTCTCCTAGGGGGGCTCCCTCCAACAGGTCAGAGGCTCCCTGTAGGGCAGCAAGCAGTCAGGGTCACTGTGGCCGGTCCTCCCCACTGCACAGGGTCTCACAGACTTACAGGCGCTCCCTCGAAGGCACAGCAGGAGCCTGGCTCCCCCTGCTTACCACCAGCACCAGAGGACAGCTGTCCACACCCCCCTCCATATGGTAGGTCCTGAGAGCAGGCAGCAGAGGACATGCCTAGGTCGTTCTGGGGACACTGGGGGCAGGACAAGGGTAGGGTTCTCAGGCACAGTCCTGCACAGCTTTTGTGCAAAGAAGACAACTGGCAGGCACAGAGACCCCTAAGGGGTGAGCTGTCCTGGCCCCTGGCAGTGCCCCAGTCCCAGGGCTAGGGCAAAGCCTGAAAGTCAACACAAGCACCTGTTGGCCTACAGGTGAGCACATGCTGGTGGGGGTCAACCCCACCTTTCATTCAACTCCAGGTCTAACAGTGGGGTCCCAAGAGTGGCTGGCAAGTGGGGTCTGTCAGGCTTCCCAGACAGCAGAGGCTAAGGACAGGACAGCAAGGGCTGATCCCCAAGAGCCTGGATGATGAAGGTGCCCTCAAGCTCAGGCCTCCTAGTTGAAGGCTGAGGGGAAGAGAGCAAAGCAGGGCAATGGAAAGAACTGGAAGCCAGAGGGTGAGGTATAAAAATCTGTATTTATATTACAATGACAGAATGACACAGCACAGCCCCACCTGGAGGACAGGTGGGTGGGGCCCCTTTCACTCTCCAGCTGAACCAGCACCAGGCCCCCTAAATGGCCCCAGACTCTGGCACGGAACCTGCCCTAGTGCCCTGGATGGGGCCAAGGCTACTGACCCTCTGTGAAGGCAGTATGGAGTGGGTAGGTCCCAGGTCTCTCTGACCCAGAGAGAGACTGGATGGTTGGGGCAGACAGGAGAGCAAAGGGTGGAGCCCTCAGGTCATAGCTTGGTGCATGGTCCATCACCCAGGAACACAAGCTCAAAGACCTTGCCATCACATCACCACCAGGATGAGTTGAAGAAACAGCCTCTCCTCCCAGGCCAGCTAGGCCTGAAGCAGGACGGAAGGGCATGGTATGAGTGGGATGCCTCCTAGGGAGATGGGGACCCAAGCCTGAGCCAAGGGTTCTAGACTCTCAGCCACGGAGCATGAGGCCCACATGGATGTGGGTGTAGGTGGGCAAAGATGGAGGATGGAGGATGTGGACTGTGGCTGTTGTCCCAATTTCCTTCTGCAGACACTACAGTGGTCCTGATGGATGTGGCCACCAGTAACATCCAGTCTGGGCAAATGGCAGGGAGCAGGGAAGGGAGGAATGGATATGGAACTCTTAGCACCAGCCCCCACCCCTGTGGACCACCCCTCACATCCTGCTGGTGGCAGGGAGGAGCAGATGGAGAGCACCCCTAGGTGGCTGATGAGCCCAACTTCCAAGTCCACATGGGACTGGGCACAGGCTGAGCTGACAACAAGGCCAGCCAAGGGGCCACTCTGGTCACCTGGGCTGGATTCTGGTAGACAGAGGTGGGAGCAGAACCCCAGGTTTTGGAGATGGAGCAGAGTTGATAGTTTAAGAATTCGGGGAACATCAGGAGACTTTGGAGTTCTGGATCCTGAACCAGGCCCTGAAACATGGACTCCTGCTCTGCTCTGAGGGGAGAGGAGCTAGAAAGCTCAGTGGATACGCCTGACAGACAGGAGAAGCCCCAGTGGGCTGAAGACACAGTCAGAACACCCAGGAAGACATCTGGACAGCCCCCATCCCTGCTCCCCAGGGTCCCCACCCACAGGCCTGTTCTCTGGCGCCATCCTGAGCCCCTGAAGGGGAGGTTCCGTGCCACAGGTATTTCCCTGGACTCTGAGGGTGTTCACTGACACGATAGAAGAGAAATTGAATTTCCTTTCATGATTTGGAAACTTGGTTACAAATGCACCAGAGGTGGTGGCAGGTGCTGCTATAGGCCAGCCCCACGGCCACCACCCAAGTATTGCTGTATAATCCCCTGGGGGACAAGGACTTCAGGACTGAAATCCAGCAGAAGCCCCCTAGCCAGGCCCCCACCTCCAGAGCAAACACTTCATCAGCTGCCAACCTGGCACCTGGAGCCCTCACCCCAGGCCCAGAAGCAGGCAGGTTGAGGCAGGTTGCAGATTCATAACATAGTGGGCCCCAGCCAACCAGGAAGGTAACACTGGGAGCCTGGTCACAGCCCTCCTGCAGGGGAGGAAAAGTGGCCATGCTGCCTACGCAGCACAGGCACCTCACTCCAAGGAAGCCTTGGCCTCTGGGAGGAGCTGTCCATGGGGAGGAGGCAAGGAGGCACCTGCTTGGCAGGCTTGAGGCATCCTTTGAGTCACAGGGAACATGCTGCTGGTGGTGGGCAGGTCAAGACGGGACACAAGGCACACAATGACAACGTGATAGAGGATGGGTCCCTGAGACACTGGGTCACTCCCACCCCTCAGCATACAAGGACGCAACAATGGCTAGGAAAATAGAATACAAAAATCTTGTACAGGAAATAGAGGCAGCACACACGTCCCTTGGTGAGGGTTTTTAGAGCTTTTTTTTTTTTTCTCTCTTTTTAAAAATGTTTCTCTGTTTTGCATTTGGGGAAAGCCTCTGCCAGCTGAGGCTGCGATGGGCAGAACTTCTAAGCTCCCCTTGAAGGGAGCTCCTGTCACGCTGTGGCCTTGCTGGTTTTGTTTTGTTTGACTTTTCATAAGAAAGGAAGATGAGAAAGCCCAGAGGACTTGGTTCAGCTTGCCGCCACAGCTCATCCCAGCCCTGCACGAGGAGAAGCTCTGCTTCCCGTGCAGAGCAGGCAGAGCCACCTGGGCTGGCACAGGTGGGCTGATACAGGTGAGCTGGCGGTGGCCACACAGAGACAAAGTCAGGCACAGGCCAGGGACCAGCATTTGCCTAGATGGCCCCCAAAGGCCAGCCTTCCTCCAGTGCACGCATGTGTGCGTGTGGGCTAGTGTGTGTGTGCATTGGAAGGTCTCGACAGAGCAGACACTGCCCAGCTTGATGTGGACTGGCTCAGCCTGCCACCACAAGCCCATCCCTGGCTCCTGATGCCCATGGATGGGAAGGCCCCTCTCCGCCTACCTGCCCAGGGTGCTCACCCAGTCCCGCCCTTTACGCTTTCTCTGTCCAAGCCTCAGGAGCCTGTATGGACCAACCGACAAGTGGACAGACAGACAGTTGCACCTTCCTTCCTTCCTCAGTCCACTCCTCTCTCCTGGGGTCCAGTGCTGGGGTCTGAGCTCCCTGAGGTGGTCATTAAGCCCCTTACACGGTGCCTGCCGAGGTTTGCAGCAATGACATTTAATACTTCTGGAATGATTAGGAATCTGAGAGCAGACCGTGGGTGGCAACACTGGGCTCCAGGTCATGGGAGCCGGGCCCTGCCTCCCTGCAAGGGGCCCTGACCAGTGGGGAAGGGAGGGTGGGCGGGCGGGCGGCTCAGGCCCTGACCAGCAGGCAGCAGGCAGAGGCGGGCAGCCCAGGCAGCAGCTGGAGCTTCCAGAATGGCACAGCAGTGGCCCAGGGAGAGGCTGCATCGGTCAAGGGAGAACTGAGGCTGACACGCTGACCAGGCAGGCGGGCGGCAGGGGCCAAGCAGCAGAGTGTGCGGGGCCTATGAGAGGCTGGGGCGGCCAGGCCGTCGGCAGGGGCGCCCATAGCCACCRTCACTGCAGCCACCGCTCTGCAGGCTGTAGTGGTCATCGGCGTCACTGCTGCTGCCAACACTGTCCAGCTCACCAGGGCCAAACTCCATGCCCTCTATGTCCACCTCTGGGGAGAACAGAGAGGGCTGGGTCAGGCACTCCAAGAAAACTAGCATGAGGAAACAAGTAAGGGCCCATCTCTCCCTGTACAGAAGGGGAGGCTCTGGGGGTGGGTGCAGAGGAAGGAGCGGAGGGGGACCTGCCTGGGCCCTGAGGGATGACTCCAGGCTGCAGCTCCTGTTAAGAACCCAGCCGGACTCTGGCCCTTACATGGCCAGGGCACTGGCCTCTGGCTTCACCCTCTCCTCCTGTCCCTCCTGCACACCAAGGTGAGGCATGAAAATACTGCTGTAAACGGGTGTAGATGGTGAGGGGCCTTGTCCTTACTGGGCATCACCCCACTCCACCCCCGCCCCAGGCTCCTTTTCACCAGAAGCTGAAGAACGCCTGTGCCCAGAGGCCTGGATCAGGCTGTCCCGGGCCCACCTTGCTCTGAGTCGTCTGTGGAGATGGCGGAGCCAGTGCTGTCCGTGCGCACGCGCTCCATGCTCTGCACAGACAGCTGCTCCAGGCGCCGCTTCAGGAAGCGGTGCTCCCGCTGCAGCTGCTCCTTGATGCTCAGCGCCCTGCGGTCCTGCTCCTCCAGTTTCTGAGGGGTGGGGCACTGTGAGCCTGTGGCCAGGAGGGGGCATCCCCTCGTGGGTGCAGAGGCACAGAGGTCTGGATAGGTCAGATTCTCACCCCAACATGGCCCAACCAGGCTGGGGCTACAGGGTGCCCAGCCCATGGCCCCCATGGCCTGATGTGCCCCTTCTCACCCCAGCCAGGTGGCCACACACACTCCAGCCTGGCCCTGGACTCTCCACCTGCAGTCCAACTGCAGAATGCCAACAGCCAGCAGCCAGCTGTGACAGCACCACCCAGCCTCCTCCTGGAGGACAGCCCCGCCCACAGCAGTCCCGCCTGCCCCTAGGCTTTGGCACAGACCACACCTGCACCCATAGCATCAGTGCCCAACCTCTCAACCTTCCTTGGACCTAGACACTGCCTGCTCTGAGGGCCCCCCACTGCCAAATCCCTGCTGCGCCCCCTCAAAGCTCCTGCCAGCCCTACCTGGGGTACCTATGCCTGTGAAGCAGAAGCCCTCCAAAGGGACAGAAATAAGCTATGGTTGGCCCAGATGTCCTAAGATCCCCAAAGCAGCAGGTCTCAATCTAAAAGCCTTGTTGGGCTACTCCAAGTAATGTGTCCTGAGAGCAAATCCCACTTTCTCCTGACACCCAAGGGGCTTAGAAGTAGCCCTCTCTAGGAAGACAAGAAAGAATCCCTGCCCCTCCTGGCCCCACATCTCCTTCCAGTTGCTGCCCCTTCACAGAGGCCTCGGAGAGCCCAACTCTACCCCAGCCAGCCACTACATGGTTTCCCTCCCAATCACCACCAACAAAACCCAACAGAAGCCATGTGACTTCCTCTACCCCCAGAAGCTTCTGTCTATCTTCCCTAAAACAAACAAACAAACAAACAAACAGAAACCCAAGCCGCTGATGTGTAACTGTTGGACAGTGCCCCCCCACCTCCAGGACCTCTGGTCAAAGGGCTGCCCAGGACACACAGGGATGGGCTAGAGGTAGCAGGGGTAGCCAGGCAGCCAGAGAGGGTGGAGGGCATGGGCTGCTCACCTTGATGTGCATCTTGGCACGCTTCAAGAGGCTCAGCGTGGTGTGACGAGTGCTGTCAGGGCCCAGGGGCACCAGCTGCTTGAGCTGCTCCAAGTAGAGCCTGAGCTTAGCTCGTCTGAAAGAGCCAGAGACAGAATCATCAGGCCAGGTGGCAAAGCCCAGGGGGAAGAGGGAATGGGGGAGGGAATGTGGGGGTACAGCTGGGCTCTCTGGGACCCTTGTGAAGGGACAGCAGGTAGGAGAGATCTGGGTGAGGGTGGGTGGTGACCAGCTGGGTCCCTGCACAGTACCCCACCCTGCTGCAGATCTGGCTGCCATCTCCCCCCAGAAGCAGCCAGGCACATGGGGCCATCTGCCTATGGATGTTCACATGGCCCTGCAGGTGACCTAAGAGCCCTATTCTGCACTCAGAGATCCAGGGGACGCGGACAACATTCACATCCCCACCTCAGCACCACAATATGCTCTCYGATCATTCTGTCCTCACAGGAACATGAGCCACGTCAAGGGAGGGCTGAGGAGGAGCCCCCTGCCCAGATTTGTATTCCCTTTGGACACCTCCTTATTCCAGTCTGTCCCCACACTCACACGGGTGGACCATTCTCAGGCACTTGTTCTTATGTTCATATGCACCAATTCCCTGCAGAATCGCTGCCTTTCCTGGCTGGTCAGGGGCCTGCTGGTCTGGGAAGGGCCTTCTCTCTGACACCACCATGATGGCCCATGACCTCAGTGACGTCTGCATGCAACCACCCAAGTGGAACTGGTGGTTTTAGCTGAGAGATGCTCAGTAACAGATCTGCTTAGCCCTTGCTGTGGTTGAGGCTGCTTCCAAATCCAGTATGCTTTGCTTAGGATCATTCTCAGGAGTGGAGCTGCCAGGTCAAGGTGTAGACAACCTGAAGCCCACCTGTGGCAGCCAACACCCTCTCCTCTCTGATCTATGCCAGTGGTCCCCACTGTCTCATGTCTGCTCCCTAGTAGCAGAGCCCTAACAAATGCATTCTCCTTCAGTCCTAGAGAGACCCTGGAGGACAGTGGATCTCCTTGGACAGAGGAGGAACCCAAGGCCCAGAGGAGGAGGGGCTGCCAGGTATAGGGAAAGGCTACAGAGAAGAGACAACATCTCCCTATGCTGCAGGWGATGGGTTGCCGTCTGAGGCCACTAAGCCTGTCACCCATATAGCACTCTGCATTGACAAATGATGTCACCTGATGCCCCAGCCATCCTCCGGGGCCTAGAGGTTATTCTGGGTGAAGAACCTCCAGGAATAACTTCCAGGATACAGGTCTGTGACTGCACGTGGTGAGGAGGTGGAAGGGTGAACAGGGCGAGCAAGCCCTAGACTGCCTCAAGGCTGGAGATTCCTCTAGCCACAGCACAGGAAAGAGGGCACACAGGTGGGCTTCGGGATCCAGACTTCTGCTGCACTGGGCCTGGAGTGCCCAGAACCTCAGCCTCCCCACCTGTCCTGGGGCAAGTGCCCCTCTCCAAAAACTGAAGGGGAAGGAGGCCTGGAGCTGGATGATGAGCAGAGCCTCTGCTCAGGGGAGGGGTCTCCTCCCAAGGCAGGTTCCCACTGTCCTGCAGCCACCAATGGGACTGTTCACAAGTGGGGACACTGCCAGGGATCCTCTTCCCCAATTTATCTGTCATATGCCACCATTTAACTATATTAGCAGTATGTGACCTTTATGGAAAAATTAGAAAATTACCAAAAAAAAAGTATCCCCCAATTCCACCACCCAGAGACAATCACATTATGATTTTAGTGTAGCTACACTTTCATATCATGAATGTTCAGTAAAAAAGTTAGGGTACAGAACCACATATGTGACAAGTGACCCAATTTTGTTTAAAAAATAAAACAGAGAACGCACACAAGAGACTCAACCAAACACAATGAAGCACAGGAAGCAAGCGTCTCCAGGGATGCGGCTGGCAATGTTTATTTCTTTAGCTTTGTGCTTTTCTATATTTTCCAGGTTTTCTATGCTAAAAAATCCCACGTATTACTATTACAATCAGAGAAAGACACATTTGTACAAGAAAGAAAAAACACAGCTAAAAGACAAATAACAGTAGAAAAATGTTTGCAGTACATATAAAGACAGTATTCGTGGTATTCCAAGCTCATACACATCAAAAATAAGGAGGAACACTTCAATGTGACAACAGGCAAAGGACACAAACAGGCAATTTGCAGAGTATGAAGGGCAAACCTGACATAAAAACTGGTTTTATCTCACAGTGATTAAGGAAAACTCAGATGAGCAGACATTCATGTCCCCTTTACAGTAGCTGATGTGCAAAGGGTGGCTGGCACTTGCCTGACCAGCCGTGGGGACCTGTCAGTTTTCTGTGGGAGAAGGGCCATAGCATAATTATCAAAGTCACTACTGATCCATGTTTCTGTTCCTAGGATTTCTGTCCTACAAAACCTTCCCCGCAAAAGGGCCACACTCAGCCTCTGCTTTGTGTAGAAAACCCTGGAAGCTGAGAACCCTGGAATCTTGGCTGCCGGTCCTGCAAAGGCTTCAGGACAGGGAGGGTGCATGGACACACGTAGGAAGCACTTATGTGGTATTAGGTGAGAAATCCAACCAGAATAGTGGACAGCAAGGTCCCCTTCTCAGCCCAGGGCCTCCAAGTGCCTGGGATGCCATCTCTGGGGGTAGGGTACAGGAGTATATGAAGAGACTCGAGAAACAAAGCAAGGCCACCTGACCGCACATGTGCAGTATTTAAAACTGCAGCATGTCCACCCAAACCCAGGAAGCACACAGCCAGGGTTGCCCTGGCTCCCTGCCCTGGACAGTGACTGCAATGGGCTGCCGGGGGCCAGGGTCTGGAATTATCTCTGCCAATGGCCAGTGGTGGGGTGCTGGAAAGGTCCCTACCCTTCTGAGCCCCTGGCCCCACAGCTGGGGCTACACTAGGTTCTTACCAAACTCGCCTCCCTAAAGTCACTGCAATACCCCAGGCCTTCTGCCAGCAGCTGTCACCAAGCATTCCAAGCAGCTTTTAAGATCCAGCACTTCTAAAGGAGCCCAGCATAGATCTAGGAGGTTGCCTGCCCGTGGGACTCCTGATCTGACATCAATAGCATCCCCACCTCCACCACAGTGCAGCCCACCACATGGTCCCGCCCAGCCTCTCACTGAAAATCCCCACTCCTCAGAGGACCCAGAGCTCTTGGAGGGTTTGGCTGCAGGCCAGGGTCCCCCAGACCTGAGAAGAGAGTGCTGGCTAGCTGACAGAGTCACACTCTGAACCAGGCAGGGACAGGCTGCTGGATAGGAGGCAGCCAGGAAGTCCAAGAGACAGGAGGACAGGGACACGGGGAACCATCACCCTCCCTCCTCCTGTTTACCTGCATCTTCTAGCTATTCTAACAAACACACTCCCCGTGTGGTTCCACAAGGCTGCATCAGGAGCCTGGGGGCAGCCCTCAGGGCAGGCCATAGGCTCCAGGGCAGGCCCTGCCAGGGAAAGTCTAGCCTGGACAACCATCTCTATGCTTGAAGTGGAGCAGGGGCCAAATGAGCAGTGAGGTCTGGCCTTTAGGGTAAGGAAGGATAAGGAAGGTCAGCCAGGGCTCCCTCCCATATACCCACTAAGGCCAAAGGCTGGAGCTAGGCCCGTGAGGATTACCAGACCCCTGGGGTCAGTTAGCCTTGGCAGACCTTCCAGAACTGCTTACATACAAGGGTACTTAGGGCAGGCTTAGGGTTGACTGGGCTCAGCTCAAGCACCACGAGGGGGAAGCCCCACAGGCCTAACCCACACCCCCTAGAGGGACACCTCCAAGAAAGAGTGTCCAGGGCCTCCGTCCCTGAAGCCAGCCAAGCAGAGGAGCCTGATGCTTGCTTGCTTGCTTGCTTGCTTGCTTGCTTGCTTCCTTCCTTCCTTCCTTCCTCTGGAGAGCACATAGCCTTTCCTTCAGCCAACAGCCAGAAGCAGTGAGCATCCAGCACCAGCACAAGGCTAGCCATGGGCACAGCCAAGGCCAAAGTTTCTTCAGGGCTCCCAGCTCCAGCTTGTAGGCTGTTCAGGATGTCCACACCTGTGCCTTGACCAGCCAGAAACAGAAACCCCTGCACTGGGTTGTGGGGGCATAGAGATTCCTAGGCTGCTCACCTACCCCTCAATCTCAAAAGGTTCCTTGAGCTCCATTAAGCATGAGCTCTAGGAGGAGCTGGCAGAGACCAAGAGGCAGCTGCAGGGTCTGAGGCCATTGCTTGCTCTCCACCACAGGCTACCCTGCCTTGCCACCTGCCCTCCTTCAGTGGTACCTCCTGAAAGCTGCTCTCCCAAATGCCACCTCCAGGAAGCTCTTCCCAGAGTATCCCCACTGTGGCCTGCCCCATCCCAGACTGTGGGTCCGGGTCAAGCCTGGTTGGGTCTCCTAGGGCCTGGAAGCAGCCCTAGGCTGGCTCCACATCAGCACCCCCCATGGAACCCCCCAAACGGAGATGACCAGTGCAGGAAGTACATCTCCTCAGGGAACAGGGTGTTCTGCCCCTGCCCAGCAGCCCGCCCCAGCCAGAGGCCTAACTCCCAGGGCAGCGGAAGTTGGCGGTGCTGAGGGTGCAGACATGGGGGAGGGAGAGGCGGGGACCTGGCTGAACTTCAGACCTTCCCAGTACATCCAGGAGGGCTCAATTTGGATGCATACCCACCCACTCACCAGGAAGGGAACAAAGAATAGACCCATTTCACAGATGAGAGCAAAGATAATGAGAGAGGTATCCCCCAGTGTCCCTCAGGGGCTCTCCCCGATGGTGGCATGGGGGCTTCTGTCTTTGAGACTTCCTGGGCCAACATGCCTCTGCACTCACCCAGAGTTCCCACAGCAGCTGAAAAGGCCCCTGGCTCACACCTACCCCAACTAACAGAGGGGCATCTGCAGCTAGAGCTGCTTCAGGTGGGATACCTGTGCCAGGGCCCTGCTGCCTGACTGGGGCTAGAGTGCAGGGAGGTGGCCCAGGCCAGCTGCACTTGTGCTGCCCCTATGACAAGACTCCAGCACAGGCCCCAGAAGGCACTGAGGCAAAAGGCATGGAACTGGGGGATAAGGGGTCAGATCATGGTGGTGGGACCCACCATTGAGGTCATGACACCAAGGCTGAAGTGTTGTTCCCAGAGGGGCTCAGAAGCATACCCATTTGCCTCCTCCAGGGAGCCATCCCTGATTGACACCAGCACAGGGCCTTTTCCAAGTCCCTGGTCCCCACCTGGCCCTGGCCCCAGGCTGAACACTCCAAAGCTGGGCCCCCACCCCTGCCTGCCAGCCTGAGAGTGCCTGAGAACAAACCTTGGCCCCCTCCTTCAAGGCTGACCCTTTCTATACTGAGGGCACAGCCTGGCAGCACTGGCAGCCCTCCCAGGACTGTGAGGTCAGCTGCGGCATCCCCTCAGCAGAAGGGAYAGGCCTATCAGGAGGCTTGAATAGAAACTGGTGAGGGCAAGTGTCACTTACCTGTGCTTTTCTAGTTCGTTGTGTGAAGACCTGTTTAGAGAAACAGAAAGACAGGGCTCACTCTGAGGCCTGACCACCAGAGCAAAACAACAATGGCTCTTCTAGGGGAGGGGCTTGGAGCCCACAGAGAGTAACAGGGCAGATCTGGGCCCCAGGAGGCCCACAGATGGTAAGGGCTGGGGTAAATGCAACAGCTGYCATCCAAGTGCTAAGGAAACCTCACACTGAGCTGCAAGGATGGGGTGAGGGCATGGGGGTGGGGGCACACAAAGGAAGCAAAGAGGTGTGCACAGATTGGGGGGGCCCAGAGCCACCAGGCTCACCTATGAGGCTTGGTGGGATCCTGGTTGGCAGGAGGATGCAGAACCTCTTCCAGATGTGTAGAGGCCCAGGCAGCACAGCTACTGTACTTAACCATCTGCCTTTTCTGTTCCCCGTACCCCAAGACCAGGTGTGTCTTTGCAACCAACAAGGACCACAAAGAGGGCTAATATGCTGAGCACGGAGCACAGAAGTCAGGTCCTCAGGAGATGAGGTGGCCATGTACCATGGCTACCATGTCAGGCTCACACATACCACCACACAGATGAGAATACCCAAGACAAGTAGTCCTAGCCAGGTCAGGCCACGAGGGAGAGTCTGAGGCTTTGATGTTTCCTGGGTCACTGCATGCAGGGAATACCAAGTCTGGTGGATCTCCCACTTCCTTCACAGGCCATGTTCTGGCAGGATTAGCTGAGCTTCCCTGGGAACAGCAGCCCTGCCAGCTGCTTGAGYCTCACCTATTCTGCCCACTCAGATGGTGCAGAGTCCTGAGCATCACAGGTGCCACTCAGGAAATTTACCCTTCAACTTTCAGTCACCTTCCCAGTCCAGGAGGGACCCACAGGCCAGCCAGGGCTCCCAGGCTTCCCACGCAGCTGCACATGTGAACAGAGCGCTCAGGCCATGCAGGTGTATACCTAGACTAAGCCTCGACACACCTGGGGGCTTCTTTGGACACTGCCTGCCTACTTCCACTCCCCTGCTCCAGGAACGTGGATTGGCATCTCCCATCCTTACCCCTTAGGCTACAGTGCCTGTCCACCCTGCCTTCCTCCACCACCTGCTGCAGCCACCTGGGCACTAGGCCTGCCCTCTTCTCATGGTGCCTGCCAGCTCCTGGGCCTCACTGTTCAACTTCCAGGGTCCTCAAGAACCTGCTACTCACATGGGCTGGGTGAGAACCCTCTGCCAGGGCTAGCTGAAGCCAGAGGGGGTATCACTAACCCCTTCACTGGCCTACCAGGAGCTGTCCCTCCGCCCAAACCTCAGCCTGGCCATGTGGTTTGTAGGTATGCTGGCTCATGAGGGAGGCTGAGGTCAGCAGGTGCCCTTCAGTGTAGCTAGGCCCACCACCCATCTGCTCAATTAAAGGAGGACCCCACCCTGGAGGCAGAGGGGCATTTCTCAGTAGCCTGGGGGTAGAAAAGGGCTGAGGCCCTCCTGTGTCCAGAGACCCTTGCAGAGGAGGCCTGTCACACAGGTCTTAGCAGCACCTTCCCTGGGGAGAGGTGGCACTAACCCTGGCTAGAGCTGTGCCAAGTGCTTTCCTGGCACCACCCGGACCTTGTGAGGCATGCATTCTTCTGCTCACCTCACAGAGCCCAACCTGACAAGCTGGCTCCAGTGTCTTCCCAGTGAACCACTGCCTGAGCCTACAGCAGTGACACCCGTTTCTCACCCAGGTCTGTTGTGTCTTGTTCCTGTCCCTCACCTTGGCAGACATAAAGCCTTACATCAGACCCCAGCTTCTCGTCTAGTCTGGCTAAGAACACCCTCAAGGCTGGTGACCCCTAAAGGGGCCATGTCTGTCACCCTTGGCTACCTCTGGCCCTGGGGGAGTTGGGCTCTGCTCAAAGGGGTTGCAGAAGAGGTGCACCCAGGCCAGGGAGACCCTCTCAATCCCTTGCCTGGGTCTCATCCCAGCAGAAGGTGGACCCCACCCAGGAATAGGAGTCACAAAGGTGGGTAAAGGAGGCCCCAGACAAGTAACCAAATGGTTCTATGCACCAGTTTCCTCAGCTGTAAAATGGAGATAAAAATAACATTGCCTTCATGAGGCTGTGTGTGGAGGAAGCATTCAGTGAGCCTCAGCTAGGATTCTGGTGGTCAGCTTTGGGCATTCCACACTGTGGGAGCTGGAGGTCTCTTCCCAGAGTCTGGACAGCCAGAAGCAGAGGCCTGACTAGCTTACTGTCCTGGTCAGAGGCAGTGGTGCCCCTAACACATTCAAGTCCTTCTGCAAACTGTCTTCAGCAGGGGACTAGATGCTGAGTCTCAGGCAGCTGAGACTCAAACCAATTCCTTGCCAGGCCCAGGACACCACAGAGATGGGCCTGCATGCCAGCCTGTTTCCTAAGAACAGGCAGGCCACAGGAATGAGCTGCACTCTCTGCCAAGAGGCCCAGAAGCCCCTGGCCAGTGCAGTTCCTGGCCTAGTGACACAGGAGTAGGTAGGCCAAGGTAGATCCCTGGACACTTCCAGGTGTGCCAAGCCCCCACAGTAGCTAGGTGCCGCTACCCTGGGGTGCCCTAGCCCATATGCGTGCACTCCAATTTCAGGGTTTCTGCAGTACAAGGCCAAGGGCTGGAGGAAGTAACTGATCCTAAGGAGCCTGCTCCCTCCTCCTACCTCTCCCAAAGGCCTCCTGTCCCAAAGAAGGGGATCCCTAAACTTGTGTCTAGAGTTTCAGTGTCAGGAGACTGGGTAGGACTGGTGGACACCTGGGAGGGGCCTTTGTCCAGGTTCCTGGGGATAGGGTATTGAGCCAAGAAGCAGGGCCCAGCTCTGAGATGGGATAAGGAGGCGGTCCCTCCGCGTGCAGAACGCAGGGCCCAGCCGCTGAGCCTCAGTGTCCCGGGCCCCAGAGGCACCGGTGGGAGCCCGTTGACAACTTCTCTCCCGCCAGGAAAAGTCCAGAGAGCCTGGGGCGGGCGCGGGGCGCGCGGCAGGCGTGTACGCGTGGCACTGTTTACGCGCGACGGGAGGCGCGGCCGCGGGAAGATGGCGACGCRCAGGCGGGGCGGGCGGGGCCGACGCGCCTCCTCCAGGCCGGCCGCCGGGGCGCGCGGAGTCGCGCGGCGGACGCGAGGCGGCCGGGGGACACCGGGCGGGGCCGGCCGGGGCTGCGGGGCGGCGCGTGGGGGCGGTACCTGTTGTTCGGGGCCTTGCGCACCAGGCTGGCCGCCTTTGTTTTCTTCCTTGCGAAGTCGCCGTCGAAGGGCAGCACCGAGGCGTAGCCGTGCTCGGCCTCTGCGGACAGACGGCGCGGTCAGCGGCCCCCCGCCCAGCCCGCCGCCCGCCCACCCGGCGCACAAAGGGGCGCGGGCTACCTCGGTCCCTGCGCTCCAGGTACTCGGCCGCCTCCAGCAGCAGCAGCAGGGAGTTGAGCTCCATCCTGCCGCCCGCGCCCCTCTCGGGACGGCGGCGGCCGCTGCCCGGCGCGCTCCGGCCGGCTCCGCTCGCCGCCCGCCCAGCGCGCCCCGCGGCACACTTGTCCGACTCGCGGACTCCTGAGCTCGGCCGCCACCCTCTGCCTCCGGCCCTCAAATTGACACATAAGGGCGAGCGGCGGCCGGCATAGCCAATGGGAGCTAGCGCTGCAGCCCCAGGGGCGGGCGCTGGACAGGATCTGGACCAATGGGGACTGGCCGAACGCCTCGGGCCGGGCCGAGAATGTTGACAGATGCGAAGCTCGGTTCCGATAGGCCGACAGCTGTAGTAACAATTTAGAAGCCCAAGCTTAGCAACAGCACGTGGTGGCCCGGCCCCCGCGCTTGCTGACTGGTGGCCGTCATGCATGTTAAGTAGGTTCTGCGCGCCGATTGGGCCAGGGCGGTCTATGTAAATTGAGACTACCGACCAATGACCCGCGGCCGGGCGGGCGGCCAATAAGGGCGCCGCGGCCGGACGCGTTGCTGAAAGGAAGCGGAGCGCGCTGGGACCGCCGCCTGGCGCTCCACCCGGCCAGTAGGACGCGGGCAGCGTCTCCTGAGACCCGAAGCAGGATGCACTGCGGGACAAGCGCTCTGCCACTCCGCCGGGCTCATGCACAGTGTGTGCAGGGACTTGTTGCCCAGGTCCAGATCCAGCACTGGCTCTGCGGGAGGACCATGCCTAGCCGTCTGTCTGCTCCGGGGTCCCTTGTGGGGCTGCAAACGACACCCTTCTCCGCGGGACAGAGTGGCCTCAGGGAAGGCCTGGACTGGGAGAGGAACGCAAACGGTTGGAGCATAAAACGAAGGCTTCTCTGAGGTTGTCAGTGGGGAAACCGAGAGCGGAAGTGTCGTTGTCGTTTATTTAGTGGACACCAGGCTGAAAGTGGGGACCCGGCTAGGGAACAGGACTTGCCGCCACAGGCAGGAGGGGCTCTCAAGAGGAGAGGCTGCTTGTGGTGCCTGATTTTAAGAGTAAGGCCGTTACAAGAGGCTGGCGCTGGCCCTTAGGCCAAGGCTGCCTTTTCTGGGGAGGAGCGGTTCGCTACTAGGAAGCAAGCGCCTGGCTGGGCGGTTGCGGCCGGCCGCAGTCATGACCTTGGACTGTAAGGCAGGCTGGGTAGGAGGAAGAAGAGCTGGTAGTCCTAGGGCAGCCTCAGCCTGGCCTCAACCCCTTGATCTTCAGATCTTCACTCTCACTGGCTTTCAAGGTTCGTGGCCTGCAGAGGGCGGGGCCAATCAGCTGGAAAGTTTTGTGTCATAAAGTGACTAGACACCCCCCCCCCAAGTTCCATATGGAAGTGGGGCTCTGCTGCCAATAAAACAGAACAAAAACTGTTAAAACCTCAGCACTCTAGGTCCTGGGAGCAACATAAATGCATTGCCTGTGTATATTTCCACATACCCAATTTACAAATAAGGAACCCCTCAGCAATCCCAGCAGAATGGAGATTGGCACTCTCACATTGTGACCCATGGCTGGCTATGTAGGAGTGTGGCGACCAGAGCCACCTCTGGTCCAGCTGGTTCTGCTGGGGTGTGAGTGACAGCTGTCTGATCTGTGGGATAGGGTTAAGAATGTGTGCCCTTAGGGCCCTGCCGGATCTAATGGGGAACTTGATACTTCCTGGAGACAGACCTGTGCCAACACTAAAAAAAAAAAAAAAAAAAAAAATCGTTGACCTGGGCTCTTCCTGCTCCAGCCCACAACCACCCCAGAACCAGAGTACAGACTTTAGCCTTTAGTCTTTAGGGCTGCCCAGAGCCATGCAGGATGAAGGAGAGTGCCCAACTTTGGGAAGCAGTGAGGCGCATTCTGCACTCTGGGAACCTGGACTCATCGCCTGGGGGTCAGCATTTTACAAGGTTGCTCCATCCCTGCATTGGCAGCCCGTGCGCCTCCTGCTGCCATGGACAGTGGGTTAGGCGTGACAGCAGGGAGCAGCCTGCCTGCTTCCTCTCAGCCTGAGATTTTTAGCCTAGGCCAATTCTGAATCTCCCCTCATCCAGCTGCATCCAAGGACCTAGCACTTCCGGTGCCCACGGAGCTCGACCTCACCCTGGAATGCGCGGGAGCTGGAGAAAGTGGGCAGGCGTGGCTGAGTGAGCGAGAGGCTGAGAGTGGCTGGACCCCCTAGGGAGATCCGGAAGCCTCAGCTTGGGGGACGAGGAGGGATACAGGGACAGGGAGGGATACCGAGTGAGGGGCGGATGGTCTCTACAACGTGCTGCAACGTGCCGGGCCCCCTAAAAGAAGCAGAGGGATTAGAGGTTATGCCAGTGCCAGCAGCCTCAGGGGCTGTTGGGGAGGAGGAGGACACGGGCTGACCAGCAGACCGAGGTCCCCTTCCACAGGGCAGGTCTCCAGCAAGGCCAGGTCCCTCCTTGCCCACCTCCCTCTCCTAAGCCTGAGCCTGAGTTGAAACTTCCCAGTGGGAACTAGCAAAGTCCGTGGTGGGGAGGGAGGGAGCAGACTTCTGCAGTCCTTCTCCCATCAGAGCTCCGCCCCCCCACTAGCCTGATGTGGGGGAGGACCTGTCCCCTCCACCCCTTAGCCCCCAAGTGGCCTCCACTCCACTGCCCCTCCTGGACCAGTCCACACCCTCCTTACTGTCCCCAGTTCAATTTGATACTGTCCCCCAGACTGTTCTCCCTTACTGCTCTCTGGGAGAGTCCACCCCACCCCACACAGGCTCCAGGAGAAGGGGCAGGACCTGGATCAGAAGGTGCTTCCCTAGTTTGGGGTGGAAGGCAGGGCTGACTAGTCTTGAGTCGGCCTGGCCTTCCTGGGTGCCCCCCCCCCCAGTATCATCTTTCCTGGCTATACAGGAGGGTACACACGCCTCTAGGGCGTGGGTTGACTGAAGGACTCAAGGCCCAGCCTGGGAAAGGCTGCTTTCTCCCCCACCCCCTGTTCCCCCCTCCGTCCCAAGAAGCCTCTAGATACTTCTTGTCCTTCCCATGCTTAGTAGGCCCTGGCTTTCCTTCTGTGGTCCTGGAGTCACTATCCTRCTGTCTACTTAGCACAGCCCCACCCCCACTGTGGCCACTGTCTCCTCCAGTTTGGGAGCATTGTCCACAGTTTCTCAGGTGTCCAAGCTTCCCGCACTGTCAGGGATGGAAGGCTGGTAAGGCCCTCTCTCCTCTGGATTACTGCCCCATTGCCTGAGCCTTTGGTCTCTTCAGTCACTGGGGTGGACACTTTGCAGCCATCCCAGGCTACAGCCTCAACTCCTTGGGCAGGAGGCTGCCCTGCTGTTCATCTGGCCCACCTTCAGAATCCTCCTACAGCCCACCTGCTGTCCACCTCTCACACCTGGGTGCAGCTGAGTCAGACAGCTCTCTGAGGCAGGTCTGGTGATGGCAGGGGTCAGTAGGCCCTGGTGAGCCTTGACAAGCCTGGTCCCCTGGAAGCCTTGGCTCCCATGCACTGAGATACTGGCCACATGGTGGCATCGAGAGGGAGTCCCATGGAGAGTATGTCTCTGGGTTCCCCCCACAGCCACTCTGGATTCTATTCTGGGAATGAGAAATTGGCCAAGTCATTTAAGTCTCAGTTTCCCTAATATAAAATGGGAGTGATAGTACCTGCCCTTTGGGGTGGCTGGGAATGCAATGAAGGTTGGAGTAGGCTGGGCACAGAGATAACCCAGGAAGTGGCAAGAATATGAACATCACCAAGTACTGCAAACCCCCAACCCTGCCCACAGGAAAATGGGGCTCTAGAGAGGCAGGCTGGGGTGGAGGTGGCTCTCCAGGCTGACTAACCATGGGCACCAAGCCGGGCAGGCCTCTGAGGGCTTCCAGAAACTTGGAGATGCAGAAAAACATTGTCTCCAGAGCACAAAAAGAAGCCAGCAAAATGAAAATGCATGAAGATGTGATTAAGTGTCTATGGAACCTAAAATAGTGCCAACATTATTCTTAAATTTAAAATAAGGACACAGTTTATTGTATTTATGAACAATTGGTGAGCACCTTCCCCCCCTCTCTTTTTATAAGGTTTCCCCACTATGTTAATAAGCCCTGGACAGCTTAGCAAGTGTAAATTCAATTAATTTATTGAGGCCAAAGTGTCCAAAAACAACATGATAAAATTTCCTTTCAAAAGTTTTTACAGGAGAGGGACAGACAGACAGACATGAAGGAGGAATGTGGGTGCAGATGTAGACATGTCCAGTGGTATTGGGGTGGCCTCCCAAGGGGAGAGGCTAAGACTCTGATGACTGGGCAAGTATGGGCTGGGCACTGGCCAAGAAACACAGAGGGGCCCCTGCCCTGCCCCACCCAGCCCTGCTACTGCTCCTGGACCCACAGGGCTGCCAGGCCTTTCTCTCAGAGGTGAAGGACGGGGCTGTGCTTAGGAGAATGTGTGCTGGGCTGGGAGGCAGCGCTGCTCTCAGGGAAGCTGCTGGAGGAGGGGGTCTGGGAGGAAATAAGCCCCTCTCTCTAGGACTCTGAGATATGGGATGGCATGAGGTGGGTACCCATTCCAGCCTCCTTTGGGTCCCATCGGCCTCCCACTGGCTCCCACTGCATAGTCCAGAGGGCACCAGGCCACCCCACTCCAGGGTGCTGTTAGCCCTCACCCAACTCTAGTGGTGTGAAGTGTCCAGCTCCAGCCAGGGCCTCTCTTCCTGGGCTCCTTCCATTGTTGCTGAGCCAGCCGTGGGCCTCTCTGGACCCTGAAAACTGGGTCTGGTTGCCCTGAGGGCCCAGTTGTGACTTGCAGTGAGGTGGTCCTTGCACAAAGATGGTCCTGGAAGCTAGATGGAGCTGAGGAGACAGTAGAGTGTGGTGCCCCCTGGTGGCAGTTAAGGGCTACAGTAGGAATCTGTTGGGAGCACAGACCCAAACCATGGGAGGAGAGGGGGTCCCTGCATCAACCCCCCTCACTTGGCCTCCAGCACTGTCATCACCAACAAGGAAGGACACCACCAGTCCTTCTGAGCCCCATGCTGCACTGCTCCAGGGTCATCTGCTTCCCTGCTTATGTCCTTTCTGTCCTCACTCAGCCCAGGAATCAGCTTACTGTAG